TGACTGATGCCACTGGACGACTGCAGGAGATGATCTGCCAGAAACATGAGAAGCTCCTCGAGGTTTTCTGTCGCACTGATCAGAAATGTATATGTGTGCTGTGTACAATTAATGAACATAAAAACCATGACATTGTTTCAGCTGCAGACCAGAGGACAGAGAAGCAGGTATTTAAAACTAGACACTGATGAAGTATTGCTGACACTACTTTCATAAGTGTTTATATCGGCACACATATTAACTGTAGCAGAAATTAACAGCAGCTGCAAGAAGAGTTTCACTTTTTGCTGAAAATGAACCGTAAACCTTTATCAACACAATCTTTCATAAGATGGGCTTTCATTACACTATTCACCTGTTCTTTGACATATAATACATATAATAAATATATACTTCCATCAGTCAAAATGCAGAAACACTGTCAGTGTGAAGCTCTACGTCTGTGTCAGTTTCACTTTTATAATACTTACACTTGTAGTAATTCATGTATGATGATTGTAACTGATCATGACTTCTGGAGTTTGAACCTGCAGCTATTATCAGCTCCACCTTTACTGGATTCATCTGTTCACATGATGATTTAGTGCCAGTAGTTTTCTGTGACGTTCACTATCATCTGTTTGTCCGGCAGAAGCAGCTGAAGGAGACACAGAAGACGTTCCAGCAGAGCATCCAGCAGAGAGAGAAAGATCTTCAGCAGCTGAGAGAGGCTGTGGAGTCTCATAAGGTGAGTCTGGAGAAGAAGAGAAGTTTGTCTCAGTCTCAGTTCAGACTCACTGAAGCCTGAATCACTGTGTGTCCTAACAGCGCTCTGCACAGACAGCAGTGGAGGACAGTGAGAGGATCTTTACTGAGCTCATCCGCTCCATTGAGAGAAGCCGCTCTGAGCTGATACGGCTGATCAGAGATCAGGAGAAGACTGCAGTGAGTCGAGCTGAAGGACGACTGGAGCGACTGGAGCAGGAGATCAATGATCTGAGTGTTTGAGAGAGAGAGAGAGAGAGACTCTACAGGAGCAGGAAGGAGGAAGCAGCTTCTTTTTTTTTTTTACTCATGTGACTCAAACACAGAACCAGGAAACAGGAAACACGTGTGTTCAGGAAAAGAGAAGCTGAAGTGTAGTTGAGCTGTTGTGTGTTTGTGTCTCTGTATTTAAGCAGTAAAATGGCAGAAGACAGAGTTTCTCAGGATGAGTTCTTGTGTGCAGTGTGTCTGGATCTCCTGAAGGATCCAGTGGCCATTCCCTGTGG